ACGACTGACAATCTTTATGTAAAGTTGTTTCGAGACATGACAACAAACACGGCGTGACTTCGTAAAATTCGAGTGTAAAATGTCTTTGCGTTACAAAATTCCTTAATCTTTTGATCGAAAACTCAAGTTGATATAAACTATGTTCTGATTTCTAGTATAACTTTGAATGTTTTGAATACAATAGCTCCGTAACGATTGAAAATAACGCGGTAAAGTTGTCGATTTCAAAACAAAATGGCGTGCCGAAGACGGCTAATGAAGGTCGTCAAAAAGTCTTCAAATGTCATGATTTTCTCTTCAAACTGTCCAAAAAGCCTTTTGCCCTTCATTACTTTATGTTATATGACACTTATATATTATTTTTATATATGTCTCGAAGTGACCATAGACATGTCTCGAACCGTCCATACGATGTGTCTCGAAACAACCGAAAATACGTGTCTCGAAAAGGCAATGTCTCGAAACGACTGGTATTCTCATGGCATATCCCACCTCGGCAGTCTTTTGTTTCATTTTTTGTAATTTCAATCCTCACTGTTCTGTGGATATTAGTGCTATTCTCTGGTCTTGGTATTGAAGGAACTGTAGGTATGTCAAGTAGACTTGTCATCATGTCAATGGATGTTGTTTTTATAAGGTCAAGCGGTTGCTTAGGGGAGCTGATAACATGGAAGTCGTCAATCATATTAATAATCAAATATGATTTCTGTTGATAGGAAACAGGAAAATGATCAATTATATTCAACCAACAAATCTGCCCAATTCTAGCATATATGTAGTTTTATTGAACAGCCATTTGTTCATGATATTCTATGTAATTGAAAGTTTACTCACATCAATTGCAGTTTTTATTTGTGATTGTGATAATGAACTATGACCTTTGACCATCTTCTCTCTTTCAAAGTCTATGGATCTTCTGTGTACAGAGTCACCAATGATATGTCCTGCTGACTGGCCTACCCTGGATAATCCATGATTAGCTAGATAGAAGTTTTCTGAGACCTACATGTATAGGTGAACATTGCAGTACAATTAACAATACAGTTTATTTTTGCATTTAGTACATATTACAAGTGATATTTAAAATAGTTTAATAATAAGCTTTTCATTTTTCTATTGAAATTACTATAGTGAAGTTAAATGCATAGTGTTTAACTATGAGTTCTCTTACAATGTAATTTAAAAAAAACAAGGAAATTTACCTGAAGTATGCAAGACTATGAAGCAAAGCAACTGTCCTTTGTTCAAGAATATCTTTTCTTTTACTTTGTACTCTGTTGTCATCTCTTGATATTGCGTTAAGTATTTTATCAAAAAGACCAGTGGAAGTTTTATCTGCAAATTCTCTCATTAAACTTGGGTTATAAATGTCAGGACCCATGTTTGCATAGTGGTTGTATAGAGCAGTTTGAAAATTGGCAATTTGATTTTCAAACTTCATGCCTTAAAAAAAATAGTAGACTATAAAACACAAGAATTCTTTTTGTTTATCATCTTTATCAATAAGCCAACTCAGTAATAGATAGAAAACTTTATCCAGCAATTTTTGAGTGAGTTTAATGTTTTATTTACCTTCTAACTGATCTAGTTTATTCAGCACACTTGCCATTTTCCCCCAGATGTCTCCATCCACTTRTATGACTCCATTTGTCAAACATTGAACATTTCCATAAGGAGTTTCAATAGTTGACTGACCACATAGCATGTTTAGSCGGTGAAATACGGTACTTAGGTGACATTCTATTGTCTTTACTTGTTTTGTTAGAGTTGCTGAATTAGTACATGTAGACTCTTTACCTTTCTCAATTGCCTCACATAACAGCAACAAGGGGAATGTTGACACACTGCAAATCTAACAAATGTTTATTCTGAGTATGCAAAACCAGAACATCAACTTTAGTGCTATGATAAAAAAAATCTTAAATTAAATATATGGGCAGTTCCATGTGAGAACAAGCAAAAAGTGAAAAAATAAAATTGACTTTGGCAAATATCTATACTGGCCAATTTGTAGTGGTATACCTAAACCTTTGAAAAAATAATGTACAAATTGGATTGTGCTCCTCGTGTACCTACGGGGGGGCACTCAAAGTATGTTTTTTAAATTACCCCCAAAATGACATGTAAGTCAACAAAATTGTTTTAATTGTTCAAAAAGCTTAAAAAGTTTAATCAATACAAAAATTTCTCATCATATTAAAGTCAATGGTGTGTACTTTACAAATAAATAACCTTTTTATCAAAAAAATGCAATATTGTATTAATTATGA